GGAAGCTTTTTTTAATCTTGAACTCTGTAAATTTAACTTTAATCACACACAGGAGGCTCCTGCAGGGTCTAGCAAGCTATTAACAGTGCAGGAGATAAGAAATTCAAAATTAAACAGATTATGCAATAAAGGAAGTATAAACATTAGATATCTCTTTACAGAAAGGGTTTAGAAAGGCTGTGCAAGTCACATGCAAGGAGATGTGACTAGGGTGCAATAAACAAAGTGATTTAACTCCTGAACGGAAGACAATTGAACAGTGAGACTGCAGGGGCATGATCAATACACAAAAACAGCTTAATTAAAGGACCACTATAGGCACCCAGACCACTTCAGCTTAATGAAGTGGTCTGGGTGCCTGGTCCAGCTAGGTTTAACTGGACTGCTATGTTTATAAATGGGTTAATCCAGCCTCTAGTGGCTGTCTCATTGACAGCCGCTAGATGCGATTCCGTGCTTCTCACTCTGATTTTCACAGTGAGAAGTCGCCAGTAGTGATGCACCGAACAGTTCGCCGGCGAACATAGCGTGTTTTAGGGCTAGAACATCAGTCTGCTTTTATTTTTTTCTGTGTAATGTAATTGCAGTTAGTTGTCTGCCACTGCTGCCAGCTTCTGTGTCAGGCACACAGTGGATACTGTGCCCATTTGCCCAGTCAGTGCCACAATAGCTTGCATTTAAAAACAAAAAACTTTTTTTCACTGTTATAGATTGAATAGCAGTTAGTTATCTGCCACTGCTGCCAGCTTCTGTGCCCATTTGCCCAGTCAGTGCCACCACTCATATCTGGTGTCACAATAGCTTGCATTTAAAAACAAAAAACTTTTTTTCACTGTAATAGATTGAATAGCAGTTAGTTGTCTGCAAGCGTCTGGGTGTCAGGCCTCCTTCAGCGTGTGCTCTGCAGACCTCTGCCCGTGTACTTTGCCACTCATATCTGGTGTCTCTATAGTGTGCTTTTACAAAGAAAAAAAGTTTTTCAGTGTAAGCTAATAGCAGTCAGTGTCCTTAAAGCGGGTGTCAGGCCTTCAGCGTGTGCTCTGCAGACCTCTGCCAGTGTACTTTACCACTCATATCTGGTGTCACAATAGCGTGCATTTAAAACCAAAAAACTTTTTTCACTGTTATTGATTGAATATAAAAGTGGCCTCTTTGAGAGAAATATTTCCCACAATCAGAACAAAAATAAGGTTTCTCTCCTGTATGGCTCCTCAAATGATGCTTAAGATTAGAAGCGGCTGAAAAGCATTTCTCACACTCAGAACAAAAATATTTTTTTTTAACATTCTCTCCACTTTGAATGAAATGACATTTGGGAAGAGATTTTGTATGAGTAGGTTTTTCATGTACGATACGGGAACATGATTTAGATCCGTGGTAAGTTTTGCGAGATCCAATAGTGTGTATGTAGGGGGAACAGTCAATCCATATCTGCCAAGTAACCTTATGTAGGAGGAACAGTCTCTATTCTGCTCTGTGTCAGTGTGTATCATGTTCTCTGAGGACAGGTGTCAATCCATATCTGCCAAGTGACCCTATGTAGGGGGAACAGTCTCTATTCTGCCCTGATGTCAGCTCTTGCACAGGAATAGCCGGCAGAATGTCAAGCTCTGTACAAGGGTCAAAGGGAGGGCAGAGGCCAACTGCACTCTGCCCAGCTGCCAGCTCTTCCGCTGGTATAGGCTGCAGGACATCAGGCTCTGGACAAGGGACACAGGGAGGGCAGAGGCCGACTGCATTCTGCCCAGCTGTCAGCTCTTCTGCTGGGGTGCTGGGAACATAGTCCGTCTCAGTAGCCAGGGGAACATGGGAGTCAGTGGGGGTTAACATCTCCTCTGTTAACCCTGGGCCAAGTTAGGAGTTAGCTGGGGAGGGGAATTCGTACTTACCCCCTCCTCCTGTTGTCCCTGTGAGGGTAGTTGGGGATCTGGACAGTCTATCCAGCCTCCCTGTAGGTCGGGCACGGAGACCATGGTCCCCTCTGCGCCATCTGGGAGATTGGTGTCTCCCCTTGGTAGGGTAAGCTGCCGCTGGGGAGATAGGGTGCTGTGCTCCTCTCCCTGAAACACAGTCTGCCGCTGGAGAGGGAGACCGCCTGTCTCCACTCCCATAACATTGTCCTGCTGCTGGAGAGAGAGACCAACTGTCTCTGCTCCCGGTAGGACACACTGCTGCTGGGGGGGATGGACGACACCTTCGGCCCCCTGGAATTCACACTGCCACTGGGGAGGAAGGGCGACACCTTCGGCTCCCTTTAACTTGCACTGCCGCTGGGGAGGGAGACCGGTTGTCTCTTCTCCCTTGTCAACACACTGCCGCTGGGGAGTCAGACCGACTGTCTCAACTCCCAGTGATGATGGTTGCTGTAGGGACGAGGGACCGACAATCTCCTCTCCCTGGGATGCTGTCTGCCGCTGGGGAGAGAGACCGGTTGTCTCTTCTCCCTTGACAACACACTGCCGCTGGGGAGTCAGAGCTACTGTCTCAACTCTCAGTGATGATGGTTGTTGCAGGGACGAGGGATCGACAATCTCCTCTCTCTGGGATGCTGTCTGCCGCTGGGGAGAGAGATCAATTGGCCACAGCCCCAATCTCCGCAATCGGAGCTCAAATTCCCATGCCGCTCGATTCTCCTCATCCAACTTGCACATGGTTGCCAAGATCGTCTCTAACGAGGGATCCGGGCCATACCTGGTTAACCGCCTCTTTGCCTCCTCCCTGTAAGCGACACCCTCAAAGCGATAGGTCATGTTTGCTGTACGAATACTAGCGTTGCCCTCAAATTGTATTCCAAACGTTACCTGTGCCTCTGCGCTGCTTCTCCTCACACTAGGACGCCATCCCACCGCTGCCACCACTGTGACGGAACCGCTGGCACCCCGACCGGGTACCTTCCGCCGACGGATGCTCCTAGTGTTTTCCGAGGACTCCAAGCACTCTGCCTGACACCATAACCACTGCAGACCCTACAAACCGCCGCAGCTTGGTTGGGGTCTTGCCGTCTCCACCCACTCTGGGCCCAAGACCAGGGTCCAGCTTCCAGTAGGTCGACCTCTCCAAATTCCAGAGAGCAGGAACAGGAACAAGCTCTTAGCAGAGCTTAGTGATTATACCCTGGGGAGTATAGTGATTATAGCAATCCCCAGAGTGTAGTTTCTCCAATCCCCCAAACATGAGCCAAAACTGCATGAAGGTACAAGATGATCTGAACTTTTAATGGCACATACTCTGCTTTTATGCAATTCTCCCCTGCAAGGGAGACGCCCACAGACAATTATACATTACCCAATCACACAATGGTTACATCCCACACATCTCCTCCCCTTAGCCTGAGAAGTAACCCAATTATCAATACATTTTAAAACACACTTTTTACCCAACTTTCATAACTCTAAAACCATACATCCAATATTAATAAAAGTCACATATTATTAATCAGCACATCCCAAATACAAACATACCCAAAAGTCATGCAAATCCTTCCATTAGTTCAAAAGTTAGTTAGAAGTCCTTTGTGACCAAAGGAAGCATGGCTTTTCCTGCCCAAACCAGTTCCCACTGGTCTGGCAGTGTCCCTGGGACAACTCCCTGCTGGAGAACAATAGACAGGAAATGGGGGAGGGGAAGAAACACACCTTCCCATGGATTCCAATGGGAAGAAACTGTCTTTAGAAGCCAATAAGCCACAAATAGTCTTTTTAAATGGCAATACACCCCAGGGCCATAGTCATGAGGAAGGAGGCTGGCAATCAGGCTCCTCCAAAAGCCAGGGTCAAAGGGCAGCTTGTCACCTAACAATCCAGGGACAAAAGGCATTTGGTCACAAGGGGCTCTGAGGACAGGTGTCAATCCATATCTGCCAAGTGACCCTATGTAGGAGGAAGAGTCTCTATTCTGCTCTGTGTCAGTGTGTATCAGGGGCTCTGAGGACAGGTGTCAATCCATATCTGCCAAGTGACCCTATGTAGGGGGAACAGTCTCTATTCTGCTCTGTGTCAGTGTGTATCAGTGATCCTTAGGACAGGTGTCAATCCATATCTGCCAAGTGACCCTATGTAGGGGGAACAGTCTCTATTCTGCTCTGTGTCAGTGTGTATCATGGTCTCTGACGACAGGTGTCAATCCATATCAGCCAAGTGACCCTATGTAGGGGGAACAGTCTCTATTCTGCTCTGTGTCAGTGTGTATCATGGTCTCTGAGGACAGGTGTCATTCCATATCTGCCAAGTGACCCTATGTAGGAGGAATAGTCTCTATTCTGCTCTGTGTCAGTGTCTATCATGGTCTCTGAGGACAGGTGTCA